CGAGAAGGGTTGTTCACGAAAACAGCAGCATTCTAGAACTTTCGAAACTTTTCAGTACTTTGAATTCATGATCTGCAGTAAGACGATAGATTGAAACGAGCTCAAACCTCTATCACAGGGTATCCTCTCTCACCTTACAGGTAACAGCGTCGAAGACCCTCGCTGACCATTTGTCTGTATCTTCATTTGCATGGTTTACTAAAGCCTCTTGAACCTATACCCCGTACTGCCATTTTCGCTCACTCACCATTGACCACTTCGTCAAAGAAGCTAGAAATTCAAGTCAAAATCTGGACTCGTTTCTGTGAAGAGCTTTTGGCATTCATATATCATGTATGAATATAGTAACCGATCAAATGTTTATAGATTATTCATGCTATTTGCTATTAAATAACGCATACGTTCAAAAAATGAACAAGTGTTTACTGATGTTTATTCTTGCAGAGGCAAAGAGGCAACCAGAGTTGCGTGTCAGTGCAAGAAATTTGAAAAATGCTCCAACTGTTCGACGCACTGACAGCGGGGTTCATATTTTATACACGTGAGCTTCGTCATCATCAGCTTTTTCTATCCACGGCTAGATAAAGGCCTGTCCAGTGATTTGCCATCAACTTCTGTGTTCGGCGATTTTTGTCCATCGTGATGCAGTTAACCTCTTTAACTCATGTTGCCATCGTCTGGAGGTCTTCCTTAAGGCTCTCTTCGAATCCAATTAAATGTCTGTCTTTTTCGATGGCATGATAATTTCTTAAACTTGAGTAAAACTCATCCATCTGGCCATCTTCACAGATTGCTATCATTTTTGTGAGGTGGAAACTGCAGCTTCAAGAGTTTCTCCAATGTTTCCGGTCTTCCTCAAATTGCGTAACATCCTCGGTCTGAATTCCAAGCCCCGGTGGTAGCAGATTTCAATGTTCTTGAGCGGTGTGGCCGTTGATTTTTCCTTGACTCCAGAAATGATCACATGACTAAACCATTAGGATTGTGCTCTCTCGATCTTCAAAATGAGCAACGTGCAATCGCGGGTATACTATCACTATTGCGTTCTAACCTTGAAGCTCGATGACGTTGACGATTTTTCGCCTGAGGTAGTCTTTGTGCTTCGAGCTTTCTTTAGAGCCCTTGGTGTTATCGTAATGTGCACTAGGTGCCTCGAAGCCAATGCCAAATTCTTGTATTATTGAACTACTCTTTCCTCTGAAGAGTAAAGGTTGAATATGCATGTGAAATCTTTGGGTAACGTCAATTCATGTCAGTTCGAAGTTCAAATCAATAGCACTAGCCAAAAGAACGGGATTCCGGGTACAAGCAAGAAAGAGGTATCTTCGAGGAATCTCTGCTGTAACGAAGATGGATAGGGCCAGAAACACCGGGACTAGAGATGCGTTCGACTGTGAGGGGTTTCTTGTCCAGATCGACAGACTCCGATTTCCATATATGGTGATGCCATGGGAGGTATTCCGCATAAACACCCCTCTTGACAAAGCCAAGGACCAGGTCCGTCAATTATATAACAAATGTGTCACTGCCGCTCCTTAGAACTCAAACCCTCGATTTAGTCATTAGTTTGCTTAGCGAAAGACCCAAGCCATTGGAGATATATTGTGAAGCAGCTATCTTTACAGCCCGAAATGAAGCGTGACCTCTGAAAAGCAGTCATTGACTATGTTAGCAACAAATCGTATTTGTTGTGAGTTGCCTCATGATAGAAGGGGGATTGACGACAATGGTCTTTACTCAACACTGAAGACAAGGACAAGCGAGAATATAGTCTATGCATGATCAGATAATAGTGATAACGATGGTTTAATCCTTGCATTTGATAATTTCGGCCGGTTTAAGCCAATGATAATTAGCTGATTGTTTGCGGAGCTTCATGTTAGCTAAATGTGGCAGCAAAAAACGTTTTGAAATTTCGAGTGAAAGCATTATGCGTTTCTTTGGTGTCTTAGGTATTATATGTTCAGAAGTGTTAAAAATATAAAATATTTAATGACCGGCATTTTTTCAATATTTCATTTACGCGCAGATATCACCTGTAATTAGCAGTGCGCTGCATCGCAGCTCTTGAAGGTCGCCTGTTGTTCCTCAGGCGAGCCACGCGCTTAGCAACTTTACTGTTGTAGGACCATAAGCGTTTTGTTTACCATCTCAGAATGTGCTGTGATGACCCATTGTGTAAACTCCTTGGTCACTGATGGAAATAGATAAGAGCGAGGATTGGAGGATAGTCGGCGTGCACTCGCATAGTACTATTAAGTGAAGAGAGATCAGATGAAGAAGAACGGATGCTCTAGCATTTATCCAGAAATCGTGACCCTTTGCTATGATCGATCGCAGCAATCTAAAGAAACTTTTTTCGCACTCGTCCTGCTTCAGTTTCCGCTTTAAATACTAGATTTGATGAGCACTTATAATAATGCAGTGAAATAATGACGTTTGTCCGTACTGTTACAGATTTTATGATCTTATTATAGTTAGTAGTGGTTCATCTTAACCTCTGAAACTCGTGTGCAAGAGTTCATGACAATGGTGTCATTTAGGCGAGGACGATACGGCGACGGGGACGAAGTGCCATCTGCGAAAGCACAAGAGCAATCGGAAGCCAAGAACGCCGTTCACCACGCAGCAGCTGATGGCGCTGGAACGGAAGTTTCGCCAAAAGCAGTACTTGAGCATCGCCGAAAGGGCTGAGTTCTCGAATTCGTTAAGTTTGACGGAAACTCAGGTGAAAATCTGGTTTCAGGTAAGTCTGCCGTGTTTCGAGTTGGTCAGCGCCGCCAGATGTGATCAACTTCACGTGTTTAAGAATCGAAGGGCGAAAGCCAAGCGGCTGCAAGAGACAGAGGTGGAGAAGCTGAAGTTGGCACACGCACCGGCAGTCAAACCGTTCATGTCGTCGCTGTTTTCCTTTGGTCCACCGACCGCGCTCCTCTCACCACTCAGAATGCCGACCATACCAGACGGACAGATTTCTTTCGGCGATTTCATGGCAGTTAACCACGGCGGTTTCATTTCTCTACCTACGATGCCTCCCTACTGACCAATCAATTAAGTCCGGGCGGCGACCGTAAACACTCTCTGCCTCTGCTTTTGGTTGGTTCCTGACCGCTGCAGAGAGCGCTTGCTCCTTCTGATTCGTATGTTGCGTCACAAGGACCGTTGTGCGTTGGCCCCGGCGATGACCCAGCAATGCAATGCAG